GTCAGTTGATCCCTTTAGGACCAGTGGTGAGAGGGCGATTCTAGGAGGATGAGGTGGAAAGGGGGAACCAATTACAAGGATTATAACCTCCTCCCTGGGGGGTGGACAACATAAAAGTGGGTGAAGGGAGACATCGGGCAATATAAGATATGACAAAACAATTTATATATTATCAAGGGTTCATGAGGGAGGGCGGGAGCAGGGAGGGAGAGGAAAAAAATGAGGAGCTGATACCAAGGGCTGAAATGGAAAGCGTATGTTTTAAGAATGATGATGGCAACAAATGTTCAAATGTGATTGACACAATGGATGTATGTATGGATTGTGATGAGTTGTACGAGCCCCCAATAAAATGATTTTTTTTTAAAATCACCGATGAGTACCAATGCTCTCTTAAATTCTTCTCACCTATAAGTAACCTTCAGTCACTAGGATCTAACCATATTGTCTCTGCACTTATCTGGACCCTGTCCCCATATTACTGTCCAATATTACTTGCACATATTATGTTATTATTACTCTGACTACTATTACTTGCACAAATGCTCTTCTAGGTAAACCAATCACCTTCCAGTAGTAATCACTTAAATCAAGGCTCCCCTAGTACACTATGGGAACAGAAAAGGATGCTGTCCCATACTAGTTCCTGAACAGCCATTTCAATAGTAATTTCAGATTTTCAGCCTCGCAATGCAAACAGCTGCAAAGTATTCAGTCATATGCTGCTGTTTCCCTTTCCCGCAATTCCTCAGCTCTTTCCTAAAACCTACCCTCCATGAAAGCTGACATAAAGCCTGCAATGCATCAACTTCTACCTCACTGATTCTTCTAAAGTACAGGTGCTATATGGCAGTCTGTTATATCTTGTAATCAAGGTTGCCTCCCCGCCCCACAATCATGTGTCCTTGTGCCACAGGCATCGTACCTTATTGAGCTCGATGCTTTCAGGAAAAAAACTGTACAAACTTTACATAGTTGCATTTAAGAAATTTTTCCCCAATTAATTTTGCACACAATATTCTGATCTGAAAATATCTGGGTAAGAATAACTCCATTCTTTAAATAGAATATAAATAATGACATCAAAAAAATTAAAATACAAAACAGTGACAGGAAACTTGTTATAGAAACCACAAACTCACTGCCATTGAGTCGATTCAAGCCCACAGCGACCCCAAAGGGCAGGATTGAACTTCCCTGTGGGTTTCTGAAACTGTAACTCTTTAAGGGAGTAGAAAGTCTCCTCTTTCTCCAGTGGAGCAGCTGGTGATTTTGAACTGCTGACCTTGCGGTTAGCAACCCAATGCACAACCACTACACCAGTAGGGCAAGATCAAAATGTAGAAAAAGTTAAAGGTGACAAGTTGAAGTGACAGAAAAATATACCTCTGGATTTTTAGCAGTTTTAAAAGTTACAAGAAAACATGTCCACAAAGTGAAAGTTCCCATATACTTGTTAGATTCCCTTTAAACCCAGAAACCCCCTCTACTGTACTTTCACTCAAACAAATATTACACTTAGAAATTTCCTGGAATGTTAAGAAATCACCTGCAATGAGCCCTTTTCCATAAGTTCTTTCAGTGGCATGAAGACTTTAAATTTTTTAAGTATGAGCTCCAAAATAAACTCTCAATTCTGAGAAACATTTGAAAATCACCTGTTTTGTCTCTCAGTGTTCTGTAGCTCCCTGTGGTCCCTTTTCAGGTGTTTGGTCAAAGACGTAAAGTACTCTTTTAAAAGGTTCTGGAAAGGCTGCTGTTTCTCTGGACTAATTATCTCACTAGGAGGAAAACTCAAATTAAACTTCTCGGCAGCACCCTTTACTTTCCTTGGTACAAGTCCAGCAATATCATCTCCACAATGTCGACAAAAACTTATCACCACAGAAACATGAGTATGGGATTCTCGATCAGCATTAATAATATTTTTTAGCTGTTCATAGATTAAGGAAAGACCTTCCTTGTCTGTGAAAATCCCAACTATTGTCAATTCCGCAATGAAACGCAAGTCCGTTCTCAGCTTGGTAATGTTAGGTGTCTTTTCTTCTTTCCTTGCTTCAAAATGCTTTTTCCAGACCTGAAGAAGTGATGGGGCAAAGTCAGAGTAGCGCTGGTGAAAGAGAGAGCATAAGTGCACAGCACAATTCACATCAGATATTTTTAGCTTTGCCTCCACAATAGAAGCTACAGCTTCTGCAATGTATTTGCTTAAATTTAGGCCATTAAAATCATGGGACAAGGAGTCTCTCTGCTGCTCTGTAATCGTTTTTAGTTTCTTGACAAAAGCAGTATTCTTCTTCAAACTTGAGTCTAGTCGGCTAAAGAAATTTTCCTCTGGTCTGTTGTCTGGAGCATTTTGATTTCTGCTACGAAGTTCCTTCCTTAATTGGTGTCGCTCCCAAACTTCCTGATGAAGCTGAAGAGATTCCTCTTTCTCTCTAAATTAAAAAAAACAAACAAATGAGTAAATAAAATACCTTGCCTATTTTGAAGCCTCACTGACTAACCTCATAGAGTGAAAGTCAATGAAAAAGTAATTATGTAAGTTTCCAAACCCAAGAATGAAAGATACAAAAGGCACTACTTTTAAAGGCATTTTATTAATGACTTTAGTAAGAGTTCAATATATTGATAACAACCAAATGTGATAGTGCAGGGAATGTTGAACTAGATTAAAACTGATTCTGCCAACTGGAATGCTAATGGATAAAATACATGACACTTATAATGAAAAACATAAAATACTATGCCTGAGTATATAAAGCAGATAATGCAATGAGCAAGTGGAAGACCAAAAAAATAAGTGCACAAAGCAATACTTAAAGAATAAGCATTGTAAAGGAATATATTAAAAACATTTTGAAATGGTAAGTTTTTCTATTCTTGGTACCTTGATAGGTTTAGGATCTCAAAATTCAAATGCGATTTAGAAAATTTGGGAAAAAGAACTAGCACATGAATGTCCTTTAATAAAAAGCTAACAAACCTAATTTACCAGGAAAAGGGGAGGGGAAGAAGCAGCTGAGAACAAATCTACCTATATTCGCAGTAAAAAGATGGGCGGGTGTGGAAAGGTCGGTACTAGCAATATGACTTGTAATTTTAAACCTAAATCTCTAGAAAAGTCCATTTTTATCTTTCTGAAAAAGCCTTTGATTTTTCCACTAAAGGCTGTAATAAGTTAATGGAAAAGTTATACATCTCTGGAAACACCGATATTTAACTACTGGAATTCACCCAATTACATACAAACACTGGATTACCAATTACTAGTTCATCTTTGTGTTCTTCCCATAAAGAGTGCCTGATAGTTTTCACTAGTTTATTATGCTAATAATAATTCAACAAACAGAACCTCTTAAAAACAAAATTTTCAACTCAAAAAGATTGAGTGTTATCCTATCATGTAAAAAAATTATTGAAATTTCAATTACCCCAGACCTCAGGAAAATACTTTTTAAAGATTATCACTATTATTTATTTTAAATAATTAAATTGTCTGAAGCATACCTCCTATCACCAAAACTAACAGAACAAGTACAACAAGGTACTTCTAATTCTCAAGGAACTGCACCAAGGAAGCTTTCTCTCTAATCATCTTTTCCTAAACCACCCCAATCTTGCCATTCCTTCACATCGAGAATTAAAACGCACGTTCTTACTTCAACTGAGCAGCTGCTTCTTCTTGCTGACGCTTTGCCTGCTCTTCTTGCTTCTTCCTCTCTTCCTCTTCATGTTTCTTTTTTTCTTCTTCCTCTTTCTTCTTTAATTCCTCTTCTGCCTTCACCTTCTCCTCTTCTTTTTTCTTACGCTCTTTGTCTTCTTTTTTCCTTTTATCTTCTTCCAGTTTCTTCTTTTTATCTTCTGGGACCTTAATAACCTCCTTCTTGGCAGGAAGCTTGATATCATCTTTTGGTTTCTCTCTGCTGCTCACTGGCCGCCTTTCACTGCAGTCTTTTTCCTTGTTGTTCAGTAAAGATTCTTTTTCTTCCATATTTGCTGGCTTTTTACGCTCAGCTGGCATTATGTTACCCAGGACAATCTGTTAAGAGTAGAAGAATGTCAGTATTGTAGATGTAGAGACCTTTTATTTATTGATGCAACACTTTAAAACAGGACATATTAATGTATTGTAACTAAGCATTTGTGTGGGATTAATTAAATGCATGCAAAGTACATACTGCATCTATAAGAAAAACAAGTTACAGGTCACATTCCACATTCTCTCATTACTAGTTATGCATTTTCTAGGCAAAAAAACAAACAATTTTTTTAGCTTTTTATAACCAAAAATTCAAACACATATAAATAAGTAGAGAACGCAGCAAAAGGAGCTTCTATGTACCCATTACCCATATATAACCATTAAATCAACTTCAAAACAATGTCATTTAATCACAAATACATCAGTATTATTTAATAACACTGAGTCAGTTTTAACCCACATTCCAGAATGGTACAAGATACTGGTCTGCTATTTCATACAATATTCAATAGACATACTCATATTAAGTCCTAGAACGGGAGCTTAAATGACTTCTTGTAATCTACAAACCACTGCTCAAAATGGAAGAGAGGACTCACCAATTACAACTCACTCCTTTAACCTTTTCATCAAACGTTCAAATGCAAAACTGTGAACTATCCCAAATTAGACTAGTATTAGTGCTAGTCAAATTAAATCTATAAAAATGCTTATAAAATCTGTAAATTTTGTTATACTTACCAATACAATAACTACGACTAGGGTAAAGTTTCTCAACCTTGACATAAATGACATCTAGGGGGTAATTT